ACTCAACAACAACAAGTAACTTTGTCTTATTATGATCCTCTGGAGCGTTAACTTTGAAAGTCCATTCTGTCTTGTTCGTGCTTGCTACGGCTGTTGCAGTGCTAACATTTTGTGATGTTTTGACGCTAGTGACAGAGGCGCTGGAAGCTTCGCTTTCTGTTGCAAAGAGATAATATGTCTTTGTAATATTTAAGCCTGTTTCGAGTATGATTTTGGCTGTGTATGGATTGCCTGAAATTACTTCGTTGCCATCGTTGTAAAGAACTCTATCGATAACTGGTGTGGAGAGTGTGTCAGAATATGTAACATTGCCGGTACCTAACTCGGATGTATGATTGGCGGCGAACTCAACAACAACAAGTAACTTTGTCTTATTATGATCCTCTGGAGCGTTAACTTTGAAAGTCCATTCTGTCTTGTTCGTGCTTGCTACGGCTGTTGCAGTGCTAACATTTTGTGATGTTTTGACGCTAGTGACAGAGGCGCTGGAAGCTTCGCTTTCTGTTGCAAAGAGATAATATGTCTTTGTAATATTTAAGCCTGTTTCGAGTATGATTTTGGCTGTGTATGGATTGCCTGAAATTACTTCGTTGCCATCGTTGTAAAGAACTCTATCGATAACTGGTGTGGAGAGTGTGTCAGAATATGTAACATTGCCGGTACCTAAGTTGGATTTATGATTGGCGGCGAACTCAACAACAACAAGTAACTTTGTCTTATTATGATCCTCTGGAGCGTTAACTTTGAAAGTCCATTCTTTCTTGTTCCCGCTTGCTACGGCTGTTGCATTGAGAACATTTTGTGATATTGCGACGCTAGTGACAGAGGCGTTGGAAGCTTCGCTTTCTGTTGCAAAGAGATAATATGTCTTTGTAATATTTAAGCCTGTTTCGAGTATGATTTTGGCTGTGTATGGATTGCCTGAAATTACTTCGTTGCCATCGTTGTATTGAACACTCTCGATAACTGGTGTGGGGACTGTGGAAGAATATGTAACATTACCGGTACCTAAGTTGGATTTATGATTGGCGGCGAACTCAACAACAACAAGTAACTTTGTCTTATTATGATCCTCTGGAGCGTTAACTTTGAAAGTCCATTCTACTTGTTCGTATTTATATCCAGTGAAGATAGAATAGAAGTTTGGAGATGGTGTATAGAACTTTATACCTCGAACTGAAAAATCTTCTAACTTTGACAATAAGATATCCCAAGCATCTAACATCTTCCTTCCAACTTGTACAACTTTTATTTTCTTAAGTTTCTGTCTACATTCTTGTTCAGACACTATTGTTGCTCTTGGTTTGTTAAAGACAACATCCCATTCTTTCATGACATAACATTCTGGGGCAGAGTCAACATAAATGACTAAACGTTTCAAATTCTCGACTGCTTTGTTATAGTCTCGAAATGGACACATATTTCTGAATGCTTGGAAGTCATAAAAATCTGAAACATCTATTCTGTACATTTTTTTATAAAAATAAAAAAAAATATTTTTTTATTCTTGAGCTTGTTGTTCCATTTGTTCCATTTGTTGCATTTGTTGTTCTTGAGCTATTTGTTGTTGAAGTTGTTCTTGTAATACAATACTTTCACCAGTTGCATCTTCCAATTCGAAACTTTCTGCCGTCATTGACAAATACATAGGACATAAAAGTTTTACAGGAACAAAGTTTGCGTCAACTAAGGTTAAGTTTATGTTTGCTAAAGTGTTTGAGTTTACTAAAGCTGAAAACTCTGCATTCGAATGAACAATAGGCAAACCAGCAGAGAAAGTATTGTTTATACGCATAAGTATCTTTTGGTCATAATAGTTTCTGTCGACATTCGAATAACACTTTGAACCTAAGTTTGAAACAATATATAAGATTGGTGTGCTTAAAGTCAATGGAACAGACATTCCTTGTATGACACCTTTTCCTGTTATAGGAAACTGTTGGTAGTAAAAACCAGATATAAGTTTTGTATTATAACTCATATCGTTTATAGTAAACTCAGTCGGACATCCAAACATAATGAAACCTGCTCTAGTTGCAGCACATGTTACACCCGTCCTTAAAGTATTAAATAAGTCAACAAAACCTGTTGGTGGTATATCTGAGTAAGTATCTTCAAAGGAGTATTTTTTACCATTCACAACAATAAAGTCTTCTGGTGTCAAAAGAGCAAAACAGGCTTTAGTCGTCATTGTGTTTAAGGTTAGTTTACAATATCGTCCTTGAGGACTTTGTAAGTTTGTTGTTATAGAATTATATGACTCAGGGTTTTTAGTCGTAATAGTATAAACCATTATGTCTTCTGCCATTTACTTAGCAAATAAATTTTAATGAAATGTTGTGGTCGTCAAATATTTTTATAACGTCTGGGAAACTATATTTTAAGTTCAACGTTTCACCTCCTTTCATAACGTATATCTTGTCAATGACATTATATGAAACACCACAGCAACTAATGTCGGGTTCTATTTCTTTGATGTTTATATCGTCTGCCTCTGTCAAAAGTTTCAATAGTTCTTTCAAAACTTCATGAGGTGCAATGACATATGAGTTCACTTTTACAGGGTTGTGTTCGACCAAGTTTAACATTATACTTAAAGCTTGACAAATCTTCTCCTGAGTTTTAAGTTTGTCTTTCAGTTGTTGGTAGTCGTTTCGAATATCTGCAACAGAACTTAAGTCTCTGCTAACTTCAGGATATGTTGGTTGTTCTTTTACAGGAACTATTGTTATACCATCTTCGTCTTCGTATGGTTTCCCCACTTCAACATCTCTGTCTTTGACATTGACAACAACACTTTGACTGTTTGTTTGAGTTGGTGAATTTAACTTCACATCTGCCACCGCCATTAAACCTTTTGAAACACTTACACTTCTATTTTTCGGAAATGACATTTTACTTAGAATAAAAAGATGGACGTATTCAGATATCTCTTCGAATTGAAGCAAAACAAAGTTTACACACACAAACAATACAAATACATTGACAGAATAGTTCTTTACACAAACAATGGAAAATGTTATAGAATAGCAGTCTTTGCTGAACCTAAATATTTTCATAAAGCAAAGAAAGTTGGTATAACTGAAATGGTGAAAGTTCTTGAAGCAGACAAAAATATAACTTCAAAACTTACAGATATTTCTAAAGGAAAGTTTATAATACAATATTATGTCAAAACTGGCGTACTGTCAATATTTGACGGAGAGAAGTCAGTTCAAGAACAACTTACTGACCTGCTGCCAAAATCTGCTCGATGGAAGCTGTCGTTATGCCAATCTGAGGAGCCCCAGCAGGTTTCATCGAACGAATTTTCAAAAGAGCATCTTCCGTGAAAAGTGCTATTGGTTTTGTAAACTTCTTTGCTTTCAATTCATCTGGACCGTCTCTGTCACCAGTATATTGTATTTGAACTGTACCAACAGTTGAAATACCACCCATAAAGTCTTCTGAGTCAGCAAATGGAATGCCAAGCCAAAAGTTTGAACGGTCTCCATTTGTATATTGAGTTTTTTGACCTCCTGTATGGGTCCATACTTTCACATATGGCATAATAGAACTTTGCATTTCAGGGTTAATGGTTGTTGTGAAGTTGTTGTTAAAGTTCATAGCATCTAATGTCAAGTTGTATGACCTCATATCCTCAACTGTAGAATATTCTTCTCTTGGATAATATTTGCCATCTATGTTTATATGATATTTAATACCAGGGTTGTAGAAACAAGAATAGTCATTTATAGTTCGTCTGAAAAGAACAAACATAGTATCTGCATGTTTCATTGCAGTTGTTAAGGCAATATCTGTTCTTGCACCTGGGTCAGCACTTTGGTTTCCAACTTCACCTGCAAAGTCTTTGACAGATATTTGGTGTATAGGGAACATAAGTGGAACTGCAATATATTTGGCAGCTAAAGCATTTGAAATATCTGGGTCCAACATATAGACTGCAAGTCTGCTTTCTATTCTCTTGCATTCAAATTTTTCGCATGTGAACTTAACTGGGTCCCAAGCATCTCCAGCAGCATTGAAATAATAGTTTACTTCAGTGTTGAGGTTTGAGAAACCAAAGTCTAAGTCAACTTTGTCTTTGCAAAATTCGGCGAATGACGTTTTATTTGTTCCCTTTACGTCTGTAAGAGTGAATGGGTCTTGTGTTGGTGCAATGACTAAGTTATTTTTGCTTGGAGTAAGTTCGATAGAAATTTTTCCTGCCCAGTTTGGCAAGTATCTTAAAAACCTGAAGATGAGGAAAGATGACAAAGGAACTCTAAGTTTCAGTTTTACTTTAGTGGCAGCAGTTCCATCTGAACCAGAAAGGTTAACATAAACTCCTGGAACGTTAGGGTCAAGTCTTCTTATTTTCTCAATAGTTGCATACTGGTCTGTTTGTTCTCTAGCTTGTGGTTGTACTGAGTTTCTTAAAGCGAACCATTCATAGTTTGCCCATGTTACTGTTTGAACTAAGTCAGAGTTAGAATATATCTTATATCCCATGAAAACTTCTGGAGCATATTGGTATCCGACATAGAAAATTCCATTGCAACCTTTCTTTTCAGACAACTTGGCAGAAGGTTTTATTTCAATGTCTTGTTCCACGTATAAGAAAGAGTTGTCAATAGAAATAATATGAAACCTGTCGCAAGCAATATCTACTGTTGTTGAAGAACCTTCTCCAAACTCACCTACGTTTCCATAAGAAACAGCAGTTGTATATTCGTAAGTTCCAGGAACTATTTCTGACCTTCTAATGGCATTGTCGCATTCGTTATACCATTCGGAAACATTTCCATTCATGGCATCCAAAACTGTTGGCGTTATATTCTGAGCGGCGTACATTTCATATGGGTAAAAATATAGAATAGTTGGATTTATATGTCATAATAGAACCCACTCGGACCAAGCTTTACTTTCTTCCTGACTGAGTTTTTAACTCTTCTTTTTCCTTCATTGCCACTACTTTCACTAGATGAAGTTACTTCTTCACTACTTTCACTTTGTTCTACTCTTCTCTTCTTCTTTGGTGTCGCTTTTGGTAACTTGCCCTCTGCTTCAAGTTGTTGCATCTTTGCCTCATGTTCACCTAGTATGTTGTAAATTTCCCATGTCCTTTTTGCCTTTGGGCTCTGGTCGCCCATCTCAGGTAACCTATATCCTAGAAAGATTTTGTCATAGTTTGTATTTGAGTCTTCGCGTATTGTTTGCATGACTCTTTCCTGAGTTTCCGGTTCAAGCTCTTCAAACAGAGCTTGTCCATATGGAATAAGCTCGTTTCCAAATATATGTTTTTGTAGCCATTCTGGTTTTCTTTCCATGTTACCAATAATATCTTTTGTGAATGGGAAAGCTTTTACCCAATGTTTCAGTCTTTCGTCATTTATTTCTGTAGTTGGTTTTATTTTGTCAAGGAACATGTTTTTCAATACTAACATTTCATTTGGTACTGTCCATTTGAGTTTTCTTAAATATTCATCCCTTCTCGGTTCATTGTCTGCAAAGTAAGTTTTTATGACATTTTGTAAACTTTCGTTTGCAAGGTCATGTACAATAGGTTCTCTTCCTTCTCTCTCCCTAACTGTCTTTCTAAACTCTTCACCAAATATACCATCTCTATGGTTCTGTGTAGTTCTTTGAGATAAATGTTTTAGAACGTCAGGTGTTATATTTCCATCAGCCATGTTCATTTCATACTGGTTCAAAATATCTGCATCTTTCATATCTTTCAATGGCATTAAAGCCGCGCTGAAAATACCAGCTATATCTGGTTCACCATTCACTTCCATTGCGTCTACAACTTCTTGGAATTGTGGTTGTAAGTTTATGAACCACCTATCCGGATTAGCTTTATGACCCCATCTCATTGTAGTTCCATAGTCTGCAGAAACAAAAGTAGGTTTGTTTCCATATTGGTTAGGTTCTGAATGAACTTTAAACAATGTTTCATTTCTATATGTTTTGTTGAAATTTAACCTTTTATTTTCACCGAGTTCAGCCAAAGATTGAACGTTATATGGTCGTAAGTAAAAAGGATTGTTGTATTTGCGTACATTATCTTTCAGTACTTCCATTCTATGCTGAATATTTTCATCTGATGTTGGAGTCTTTTGTATGTCGGCAAACATTTTTCGATATTCTTCTACTATGTCAGCCGAATTTTTTTTAGACTCTTGGAAAGATTCCATATTCACCTCATACTCTTGTTGAGGGTCAAGATTTTTCGGCTGTTCCAAATCTTCATCTAGTTCTGTGAGGTTAGTTTCCAAAGGAGGGACTTGTTCGTTTCCTTCAGGCTCTTCTAGCTGTTGTTGCTGAACTATTTCTTCCATGTCTGGTTGTATCTGAACTTCTTCCTGTTGAGTTTCTTGTACCTCATCTGCTGGCATTTCATATATTCCGAGACCGTTTTTAAAAAGTTCCCTATCTAAGTCATCCGGACTCATAAACCTTTCTTCTTTCGTTCCGTCTCTATTTTTTACGCGTTTCATGAAGAGAGTTGAATTGTCATTTAGCTCTGACACCAAATATCTCGGAGTAAATTCGTTCATGTCATTTGGATGATATGCTATTAAATCATATCCCTTAGCGAGCTTGTATTTTCCAGGTTTGAAATTATATCCCATTTGGTGCTGAACCATAAAGCTAAATAGGTTCGGGTCTGTATTTCCTTCCTTGAACTTTCTAATAGCTTCTTTATATCTGTCACTAAAGTCAAGAGTATCTGGGTAACCATATTCTTCCTTAAGCATTTTTAAGAAATCTTGGTTTCCTTGTTCTCTACTTCTTTTATGTCCTTGCTCTGTTTGTGGTTGTTGTGCTGGTTGTGGAGGTGGTTGTTGTGCAGGGTTTTGAACTGTTGGTTGCTGTGCTGGTTGTGGAGGTGGTTGTTGTGCAGGGTTTTGAACTGTTGGTTGCTGTGCTGGTTGTGGAGGTGGTTGTTGTGCTGGTTGTTGTTGTTGTTGTGGTGCTGGATTTTGAACTGTTGGTTGTTGTGTTGGTTTTGGTGCATGCCTGTGTCTGTGTCCATGTGACGATGTAAATGTTTTAGGTAGTCCTGGTGCAGGTGCTTCTCTTGGAGGGTTTGGTGGTATATAAGTTCCACTAGCTAGTATATAAGTTCCACCAGCTGGTATATAAGTTCCACCAGCTGGCACATATGTTCCATCTGCAGCATAATGTCCTACCTGACTTTTCGTTCTTAAGAAAGCATTTACTAGGTCTCTTTTGGTCTGTTGTAACTCTTTTTCTTGACTTTCCACAACAGCTGTTCTAACGGCGTCATGGGCACTTTGAACTGCCTGTCTCGTTGCTGCATCTGTTATTTTCGTCATATTTTGTGCTACTTCTTTTAACTCTTTGTCGAAACCTTCAGACTTCAGTTTCTTTCCAGATGAGAAGTCGTTCACTAGTTTCACCTTACTATGAAGAGCTTCGAAGGCGTTCTTAAAGTCAGCATTCGTTAAAGCTTCATTTGAACTGTCTTCATCCGCTTGTATTTTTGTCCTTATTGACCCTATAAGTTGGGCTGCTTTAGCGTTGGCTTGGGCGTCTAACCAGTCATTATTAGCTTTTATATATTCTGCGCTTTTCATTGCCTTTTGCATGGCTGCGTCGTTATTTTTACTTTCTTGTGCTAAGTTTTCATACTGTACGGTTTGGTTTTGCAACTGTAAAAGTTTTTCTGCCTTTACATTTGCTTCAACTTCTTTTTTATACTCATCGCTATCCATATATGTCTTCAGGGCTTTTTGTTTTATTTCTTCATCTTTCAGTACTTTATATTGAGTAGTATGGTTTTTCAAATTTATAACATCTTGTTCCATTTTTGCTACTTCTGCTGCTTTTTCTGACACTTTTTTCGCATATTCCTCTGTACTTAGTTCTTTCAGTTGTTCTTCTTTCTTCTTTTTCTCTACGTTTAACTCATTGAGTTTCTTTGTGTGTCTGTCATATTCTAGTTTCTTTTCGTTTTCACTTATTTGTTTCTGTATGTCTATGTTTGACTTTTTGACATCTGTTATTTGATTTTTGAGTGAACTCAAATTCATTTGACTTTGAGGGTTATAAGCTGTTCCGTCTGCAGCTCCACCATAGCCTGCCATTTTCGCTAAAAGTGCCGCTCTTAAACCTCCACTCTGTGCACCAATAACTCGGTTTAAAAGCATAGGGTTGCTTGACATTTGTTGCAACATAGTGGGGTCATTCAGCATTTGTTGTTGCAACTGTTGTTGTGGTGTCAGTTTTACTATTGGATGTTTCAATGCTCCCTTCCTCTTACGTATATTCTTACGTAGCTTACGTGGCATTTTAAGTGAAGTTAAAAAGCGGTTTTATACTAAACATCTTCGGGGCTAGAGGGCGCAACGCGCCTGGAAGCCCCACTACCTTTTTTTTTTCAAGTAGATGTGATTTGATTCTGTACAACTAAATATTAATATATTTAAAACATTGTAGAATTAAAATTTTTGACGATATCAATTTATAAAAAAAATGCAAGCGAATCCTTTTAATAAAGCTAAGATACGATTTGCTTCACTTTGTCCACCTAGTAAAGTGTTCAACACAGGGAGCATGGACTGGGAAGCATGTGGGCTACTTGCATTAGCCGGTAAAGGCACAATTTATCTCTATAAAACTACTAAAAATGATATTTCTTTCTTATGATCCATTGAAATTCTAAATTCTAACATAACTTGCCTTAAATTCCACTATGAGCTACCTTATCTTGCAATTTCAGACGATTGCGGAAGAGTTTTGTTATGGGATTGTGAATCAGGTCTTACACTCGGAATCACTCGTCAAGTATCTGAAGCTCAGTATGTATCGGAGCTTCAATGGTCCCGTAAAATCGTTTTAGGCTTTGCAGAACCAAATACAATTTATAGTATCGATTTTTGGCCGTATGAAGCTGAAGATCAAGCGAAAAACTCACGAATACTTTGGAAGATAGATGTTCCTGGTACATATACAAGGATGGCTGTTAATAGTTCAGATATATTCACTGCAATTCTATATTCTAATGGTCCATCCTTTACAATTATCACGTCAAAGAATGCCAAGCAGGCTCCAACATCTCAATCTCAATCCCATACTTTAGATAAATCAGAAAAAATCGTAGAAATTCAACATCATCCCCATATTAGTAATATTTTATTAATTATGCTTGAAGGAAAAATACTTACGTTTAACATAGCGACCAAATCTGGCCGAAATCTTGTAATCGATGAATCATCCCAATCATCTTTCCATAAACTGCTTCCTTCTTTAACAAATGACAACGAAATTACAGTTTATGGTCAAGACTCGTCACTCAGTATCTATATCTGTAACGAAGACTACATTTTTACAAAATCAGGAACAATAAAATTGAAAAGAGAGCTGTTTGACTTAAAATCGAAGTATTTACCACTATCCGCTGCATGTAACCGTGCACTTCCCGAGCGATACATCGCGTTCTCTCCATCAAATGGCTTAGTTATGTTTGCCATAAAAGATGATATACCTTACGTCATCGCGCAGTCTCAAATTATACCACAGATACCAACCTGTTACGATTTCTACGACGGAATCCTTGCTTTCGGCACTCCAACCGGAAAGATAATTTTCGCAGACGTTTCAGAAGGGAAATACACACAGAACTACCTTGCATCCAGCACATCCATTGAAAAGATCAAGTTCCTTACCAAAGATGTCCTTCTGTGGTACTCAAAAACCGAGTGTGGATCAATAAATCTTCCCAAGCGCCAAGTTATTCCAATCCACACTCGCCTTGGCCCTGCCACAGACCTAATATGTTCAGAGGAGCTCGGCGTTTTCGTCCACGGCAAATACGACCTTGGTATTTTTTATGATGTCAAACAAAAGCCGATGACTCTTCAAACATCCATCACCGCTGTTGCAGTCCAAGTATCCAGAATACCAGCAACATGTTTCCAAGGCGATACTCCCAATTTCGCCGTATTATTATCTACCGGAGAAATCCAAGTCTACACATACAAGAACGGCATAGCACAGATGCCTGTTCTGAGGCTGCGTAACTCACGGGAGAACTCCAGGACAACTTGTCTTGCTTGGAAAGGCGATTGCATCATAACTGCTGACACAGACGGCGTAATTATGTTTTACGACTTTGCTTTCGGTACATCGAAGCAAACATACTCTCCTTTCATCGACATAGACAGGATAGAGTTCGAGAGATCATCCAGCGGATTGTACGTACACGCGAGAGACGGAAAATTTGGTTTTTCACTTGAAAAAGTGGAAAGTTGTCCTTTTTCTGTTTCCTCATTCGCTGTAACAGGAAATGGACTCGTCCTCGTCTCCCCGCTCAATGACGAAGCCGTGAAATTCGTTATTGCAAGAGACTGGAGATCTGTAAAAAGAATCACTTCACCTGCCCTCTTAAAACCGCTAAAAACCGCCCAGCAACGGTTAGAGCTTATGGGTGAGCAATTATTAACGAATCCTACTACAGGAACATGGTCAGAAGCACTTCAAATAGCTGAGATAGCTAATGACCATGGATTTCCAACTGATTCCATTATTTGGAAGTGTGTTTCACGTAGTTTGGGAGGTCCGAGGTTGCAAGCACGGCATTCCATGTTTGGAGGGAAAGAAGAAGTTGTTTCCGCGTTGAGGATTCAATCTTCTCTGTTTTCTCCTGCAGATACTCCGATTTCTGCCATTTTCAACTTGTTGTTCAAGTTCAGAATGGGTGATAGAAGAGGAGCTGTCGAAGTTTTCAAGAGTCTCTCCAACAAAAGCGAGTTCACAATAGTGGCAAGCATTTGTTCGGCGTTGCTTCTCGGTTACGAAGATAAAATTTTGCCACAAAACGTGACAGAATTTTTGATAACAACCGCTGTTCCACTTTTTGCACAGCACAGATTTATAGAAGGCTGTATATTGATGCATTTAGCTGGCGCTAATCTTTCTGCCGCAAGATATCTTCAGGACAACGGAAGATGGGAAGATTCTGTCGAAGTCTGCAAATTGGAAGAGTTTTCGAATGAGTCGAAGAGTTTGTTGAGAAGAGCCGCCCACCACTTCTTGGATACTGGAAATGCAATGAACGCTTTGTTGCTGTTCATATCAATAAGAGATTTCCATCCTGCTTTGGCAATTTTGATGCAGATAAAATACAAAGCTCTCGCGTTTCATTTGATGATGTTCTTGGATAGGGCTGATGTAATTAAGCCGTACGACGAAGACACTTCGAGATACGCAACACAGTTTGCGGATTTGGATACTTTGAGACAGGATATAATTGTCAAATATGACAAAATAATTAAGAAATAATTTTATTTGTATATTTATTTTCTTTATTTATAAAAAAAAGTCGAAAAAAAATGAAATTGTTTATATCGCATTTTCAATGATCTTTCAAGCCAGTTGTCAGATAGAAAAAAATTACGCATTTAACAAAGTTAAAGGGGAAAAGCATCCTGAAATTACGAAACATTTTAAAAAAAAATAAAAAAAAAATAAAGTGGGAAAGTCTGGAAATGATATGCTATGTATTGTAATTTTCAAAACTCAGCTTTCTAATGGAGCTATCACTTGTTACGTAAACTATATATATCGAATCAAAAGTTTGCCATGTTGTAATTTGATTTACAAGACATGATTTAATTAAAAAATAAAGGGTTTAAAATATAAAATAAAATATTTATCAAAGAAAAAAAGTTAAACTAAAAAATATATCAAAATAAATATTATATTAATATAAAGAGGTAGCAGTTTGACCAGCTGGATCTGTGATAGAAACTGTAATTTTAACCGTTGAGTCTTCAGAAATCTTTGAAGGAGCTGCAATTTGGAAAATTGTTTTCACTTTAGGAGAATATAATTTTCTCTTAAAATATACAAAAATAGTAATATCAATACATGTGTATAATATATAGGGTGTCCAAAGGTGCGTTTAGCACAGCGCTCTATATGAGACTATTAAAGGAGATATATGCTGATTATAAATATATAATAAAAAATATGAATATATGTATATGATGAGTATGTTGTATTTTGGCGCCATGCCGGGATATAAAATGAATTTTGAGACAAGAGGCGGTTTCGCGGGAAATTTTGGCGGGATTTTTTTCATTTTTTTAATGAATCATAAAGAAAACATCCTCGCTCTTGCAAAAAATGCAAAGACTGTAAAAAAATCTACGAGACATTGGTAAAATGCTTCGGTATGGATGCTCCTAGCTATTCCACTGTAACGTATCATGTTAGGATGTATCACTTCATGAACAAAAAGGCGCCCATCATAAAAATTGACAAAAAATCGCCGGATCAAAGAAAAATCAAAGCAATTCTTCAAGCGCTAGATGAAGACCCAAGAGCATCACTTAGAAGGATAGAGGAGATGACAAAGATACCACGTACAACAGTCAGTTATTATCTGCACAATTATTTGAACTACAAACTAGCGTATACACGTTGGGTTCCGCACAACCTTAATTCAGTTCAAAAAAAATCTAGAGTCCAATCTTCGAAAGAGCTCCTCTCTATATTGGGTGCGTATCAATCCAAGAAGTTTCGCTTTTTAGTAACAGGGGACGAGTCTTGGTTTCAATATGCAACAGAAGCCAAAATCATATGGATCCCGAAGGATGAAAATGTTGTAAACGAAAACGATAAAAACGGTTTGACAGTAAAGTGACACTTTACATGGCAAAAAATAGAGCCTTACTTTTGAGATACTTGAGATTGAAACTGAATCTTATGAGGCGGTGATCTTGAATCACTACCTCATAAGGTTCAGTTTCATATAAAATTTGTTGCAATTTGTTATTCTTTTGCAATCATTTCTTATAAGATTTTACATCTTTTAGCGGAGAATGTTTGTTATCATGTATATATTATAAATATCTACACGATAACGAACATTCCTCGCTAAATTGCTGAGAAACTTTGAGGAAATGTCGAACAATTTCCTCAAAGTTTCTCAGATTTATATAGATCACTAGAGTCCCCTAGGCACTGATTCTGGTTCAGTACCTAGGAGGCTCTAGTTCTTTAACGAACTGATAAAATGTTTTTAAATTTTTGGATATTGCTACCTGTGAAGCACTGACTTCAAGTCAGTACCTCACAGGTAGCAATTACATTGAAAGATGGGAGAAACTTTGTCCGAATGTTAAACTATTCGGACAAAGTTTCTCCCATTTGTAGTGGAGATGGAAGGCTTTGAGGTATATTGTATTAATATATACCCCAAAGCCTTCCATCTCCACTTGAAAGTGTCCAAACTTTGGGTTAATAGTTTGCAATTAACCCAAAGTTTGGACACTTTCTAGAAGGA